TACAATGTAGTGTGCACTTATTTGAATTCGGCGAATTTGTAATGTTTCAATGGCAACAGCCATTCTGCCCATATTGTTTGCTTGACTACATGCGAGCTCGATTTCGTCGGATCCAAATCCGCGTGAATTCTTTCTTCACCGTTATGGCATTTACGTATCTTATTGCCAACAATGCATTGAGCTAGATATCGCTTCCTGGAAACCACTGACACATTTTCCCACGTGAGAAAGATCTTAGCTATTACCTTGGCTGCCATACGTCGTATTGACAACTCACGAACTATAAGAAGGATATTAACTGTAAAGGAGCAGGAATCATAATCCTATAATTTTAGAAAGTATGGCCATTTGACTCAGATGGTCCAAATCATCCAGCAATTATCGTATAGTGATAACAGCGCCGGGAAACAAGGGAAAACCTAAACATGAATTTAAAAAACAACAACAATGAAACGGTATTGGTTTAATGCCAATGTCGGTGGCCTAGTGGTTAGGCTATCCGGCTCGTACTCGTGAGGTTGCAGGTTCGGGGGTTCGAGCCGCGGGCCCGACGTCGTATCTTTTGGAAAGGCACTTTACTCGAATTATCCCCACTTCACCCAGGTGAAAATGGGTACCCAGCTATAGATAGTGAAAGATCTTGTGAGTTTGTTAGTGTTTGAGCGCTTAACCCCAGCTACTTGCACTGTATGCTTCCCGGGAAGCTGATAATGTTTCTGTGTGTTCTATGGTCTGCTGGGGTAAAGTATAAAGCGCATAGAGCTTGCTTTCGAGTGGGGACTTGCGCTATACAAATACTATTTATTATTATTATTATTATTATTATTATTATTATTATTATTACCTAAGAGGAGGGACCTCCAAGTTTTATGTCATTCTCCGAAAGGACAGAGCCAAATGGGAAGTTCATATAAAATGCCTTTCCCAAAAACACAACGTCGATTCGAGCAACCCCTAGCCAAGCTGCCCTTTGACTAGTGTGTATGCCGTGAGGGTGAAGGTGTGCTTCAACAGCCATCCTTTTTATAAGGTAAAGTTGTCTTTTGTGCATGACACCACGGCTACCCCCATGTTGACCGGACAGAAATTGGAGACCCCGGATATGCGTAATGGGTACAAAAAGTTCCGTATGAAGCGCTGAATAGAGCTTTATCTCCATGAGCACATTCTATTCCCGAGCAGTTGTGAGTCCCAGACAAACTAAAGCAACTTTGCTCAGTGCTTCTTCCGACGGACTGAAATACCCACTGACAGGAAATGTTTATCCCTTTGTCCTCTTATGTGAAAACTAGGCCATGGGAATATAAAATCACGACAACACACTGTGCAGTACCACATCCCCCTTTTTAAAAATCCAAAACAAGTTAGCTCCGAGTAGCTACCGTTTAAAACATTTGAGCAACCGGCTACGTAAAGAACACAAATCACATGGCCAAATCCTACCTCTACATTTAGAAAATGTTCTAACACTGTTCAGAAACCACCATAAAACAAAACAAAAATCCCCAAAACAATGACAACGAATGCGGCCTTGCCAAACTTAATTGGACGAAAACCAAAATACGGAAAAGTACAACGCAAAAAAACAACAACACCCACACTACTCAAAATTTTTTTCCAAAACACGTATGTCCTTGGTATAGAAGCTTTGAAGGACAGAGTCACTTTTTATCTTTTTAAGAACAAAATATATTAATCAGCTCTATGGTATTTTTCAGTTGGCATTCGTCTGGTAGTCTTTAACGTCACAGCACCCTTACGTGAACTATAACAATTGCAAGTAAGGGAAAACAAACAACAAAAAACATACATAAAATGAGACCCGTTCGTTATCCTTAAAACCCATAAGTCGGCTATGCAGACGCCAATGTCATTTTTATGTTGTCTCCTTTGAAAACTGATCACGTAAGTCCACGAAAATAAACTATTGATCACAAAGAGGACCAAAAAAATGTTCTCGTATAAGAGAAAGTAGAAAGATTTTTTCATCTCCCTTACATAACAGTCTATTTTTGTACTTAACCCGACAAGACAGAGATAATATAGTTCACTTCGGGGGTGCAGCCCACAGACTACCGGTAACGTACGAACGTACATTTGGGTGGCTCGGACGAACGCCAAAGTAAAGAAAAAAGGGAAAGTTTTACTCTTACAGCATTTTGACCATGACTTTCATCATTTTAGAATGCTATTGTATTTGGCAAGTGTTTGTGGCGTAATGGCAGGGCCCTGCTTTGCACAAACAGGCAAACGCTTCGGAACTCTGAGGACAAGACATTTTTACGAGTACTGTCATCTTCTTGTTGAGGTACATACAACTGGCCCAAACAACTGGCAGGGTCAACGCATCTCGCCTCCTATATGATTTAAGTTAAATTGATGCAGGAGTGAAACATTTGCAATCAGAGTTACTGGTAATTAACTATGGAATGACACCAACAATATCAAACTAGATAATATAACTCGCATCTATCTTGTACTTCAGACTGTGATTCATTGTAATGATCAAACTTGTTTATTATTAGATTTTGTTAGAGTGTGACCATGCCAAAACATATCGGACAAAAAGGGAACGGACGCAAAATAATAGAGAACGTTAAATCACCGTGCTTATTGTGGAGGCGGGCGAACGTTGGTTAATCATCCTTGAAAAGAGATTTACTGCTATATAATACATCATGTATACGTTTTCCACCCACAGTCATTCATCTGAAAGCATCTGGCTAGGTCGTACTTTTATCTTAAATAATCCTCATAGTGTCATCTTTGTGTCGCATTTTAGAAAGAAGCTCACCCTCTTCAGACTTTAAACTAAAAGTTCTCGAAGTTAGTATTTGATATTCCTAAGAACAAGCCAGAGACGGCTTTTCACGAATTTAACATTTTAAGAATTTATAAAATTGTAGTTTTCGATCTCTTGTATTGTTACAAAATTGGCCAACTCTAGAATTGAACCATAATCTGCTTTCTGTAGTTCATCTTTCAAAACAATGAGTGTCTGCTGTTCAGATGAGGTTCAAAAGCGCTCATAAATTTGGCATTAACAATGTGCTTGCGCCGTAAAATTTTACCAAACTGAAAGAGGTTCATAGATAAAAATAAAAACGGGAGTCTGCAAAGCCAACCTGACGTCTTGCTGGCACTACGTATCGTTATAACATTATTATTATTAATTTAGAATTGAACCATTATTTTCCTGTTCCACTTTTTCGTTGCAGGACAAGATAAGTATAGAACGGTGGCGCTACTTAATGTCACATGTGCCCTAAACTATCGAACCTAGACTCTCCAGCTTTTGCACAATGACTTGTATCAATTTGTCTTAACAGGTCAATATTTTAGTAAACACCTGTTACCTGTATTCTAGAAAATTCCCTAATAAATGCTAGTAAAAAAATCCAAGTGGGTGTTTGTAAAGGTTAACAGCCGGAGCAATAACGCTATTTGAAGCAAGTCCGTCAATTTTTTTTCTCATTAAAAACATGTTTTGAGATCTTCAGAGCAAAAAAATGTGCTTAGAGTATCTTTTTACCACTAAAAAGTGTTATTGGTGAGCTGTGCCATACATAAAATGTGTGTGGGAAGCGGGAAGTGCTGTGAACAATCCAATTTTCAGCATGACAGAGATTTATAGTATTTTATATAAATTTAGGAAGAAAATTCTTTAAATCTAGCCTCAGCTGTTGCAGAAAAATATGGTAACGTTAAGACAAATTGGTACAAACTGCTGTGCAAAGTATGGATAACATTGATTCACCCGTTAAAGTGATATTTGAGGATAAGTTGCGTCACGAATTTTTGACCGCACTATGTTATTCAAATTGGGAAAAGGGAGGGGGGGAATATCATTTTTTTTCATATTTCATGTTTATATGTCCTTTTCTGTCGTTAGTGTTTGATCGACAACAGCAGATAAAAATAGTCTTAATAGCAATATTACATTGTAAAAAAAACAACTAATAAGATAATATTAAAAAGAAAAGAAAAAAATAACATTTCAGCTAATAGTAAAGCGTTTTAGACAAAGTGTAAACGACACATTAGTTTTTATGCAAACCAGAAGTACTGCCTGAAGATGCCTTATTACTAGTCCTTATAGTGCTTATTTATTATTGTAATAGTATTTCACTAAAATAGTGAAGTCTGCAACAATATGTAGTCATTAAGTTTGCCATGTTCTGACTATTTCGAGATTGTTTTTATCCATAATTCAAGATTTGTCAAGAACAGCTCTTTATAAGCAGATAAGACTAGCTTCTGTGGTGTAGCAATTAGTCACTTCGCCACAACAGCCCGAAGACCCGAGTTCGATTCCTAGGTAGGATTAATTCATATCCAGTATCTCAGGATTTCTGCTTGGAAGAATCCCACTCAGCCCGGGTTGGCCCTGACAGTAAGGATTGAAGCCCGCCTTCTTACTGATGCAACTTATTTTTCAGCCGATCAGGACGGCTTGTTTGATATTATGCTTCTTAAACAGTAGGCCTTCGATGAGCCTGATGTGCAGAATATTTTTATAAAGCAGGATAAAATCCTAAATCGAGACATGAAATCTGGAAGATAAGGAGATGATTTGTGGACTAAGAAGAAGAAACATTGTTGAATCTGATCCCCCTGGTTAAACACACACATACATATATGTATATATATTATAAATTTTAATTGACCTTTTTGTCATTAATAGTAGGTATAAATATAATCTAAAGGTAAAAGAGGCAAGCAGTTTATGGCCCCTCCCTTAAAAAACGACAAACAACCCCCCCCCCCCCCCCCGAAAAAACAAAAAACAAAAGAAACAAAATTTGTTTAAAACCCAACATATTGGACATGAAAATTTCTTTAAAATTAGGTCTACGACAACGAATAAAAGTTTTCCTCCTTCAAAGTAACTGGAACATGCCGTGTAAAATGTATAGCTCAGCGAGTCTTCGCACCCTCACTGAAACTTCTAACAGACGTTCTTTACCTTTGTCTACAAACAAGATCGGTTTTTTTTTCTCGGGTTTTAAGTCATTTGTCTAAGCTTCAAGAACTATTACAAAGCCTTCCCATAGCCACACTTGAACACCTTCCCCCTTCCCACCCTAGGTTGATACAAACAGACAACAACACTTGCGTACTCACCAGGAAAGCCAAAGGCGAAGATGACCCACATGTAGTACTTGTTGATGACCTCACCGGTCATCATGAGGTCATAGCCGGGCTCACCCTCCAGGGGATGAGGGCCTGAAGACCCCGTGCTGTTCATGACAAAGTTGGTGATCACCTCGGAGAGACGCAACTGAAGTAGGCTATGAAGGAGGTCGTCTCGATAAAAGAACGTTCTCTTTGAGAGCTTGTTGGTTGGTGAATAAATGAGGTAGCGCCAGGATTGAAAGGGAGGACGGGTAAATTATTGGGAACTCTTGGATAATGGTGTTAAGTCGACGAAAAAGAAATTATATCTTCATGGGGGACAGAACGTGCTGCAACACTGGCTGGCCTAGTACTGAACAGATGGAACTCTGTCCGCCTCCGCAGATAAATACTTCATTCCGTGCTGAGCGTTGATCAATTGGAAGTGATAGGTTAGGTAATTGAAATCCTCCAAAAATGCTTTACACATGGACTGCGTAGATCTAACACCAGGCTGTAAAGTTTTGTATTAGATTTTTTACGTCCCTGAAAAATTTGTTGATCTTCCAAATCAGTTCCAGTCACAGAAGTACTTTGTTGAACATTTTATAGTCCAAGCTGATAAGAATCGATCATTGGTTGATGAACTTGACACTTGCTTTGAAAGCGATCCGCAAAGTAGCATTTCCTACAGTCTGTTGCTGTAACGAAAAATAAACCCAAGAAAGATGAGCATGATAATGACCTTTCTTCATGACGTGGGAGCCAGGGCAGGGAGGGGGGAGGGAGATACACAGCACAAGAACGTTCGGAAGTTATATGTACTGTCCTCTTGAGTTTTTCATTTTGCTGGTATAGAATGTATTACAATATTTTTTAACGAGATTTTATTTACTTTACCCCCCATTGATTTAAGATTTGTAGAAATTTAACCCCGTACATTGATAGTTCATAGACTGGTCATTTCGGAAATAAAAATTGAGTCACAAGTCTGAACAAGATCTTGACACATGAACTGCGCAAATCTTCCAAGATAGTAGGTTGACAATAATAGATAAACCTGCATAATGGAATGAGTAGAAACATCAAATAATATCCGTACATCGACAAATTGCTCCTTGGTCATGTTATTATGGAGTATTGCAAATTAAAAAAACAACGTGCAGTCAGTTATTAAGGCGTCACTCGAAACTATCAGATTACTTTGGAGCACTGAAAATAAAAGAAATATGTAGTCAATTATTTACGGGTAACTAAGAAAGTGACAAGGACGTTTCTCAAAGGTTACTTGTCGCCCTGTAACTAGTTTCCTTCACGTTGCTCAAGCCCGCTAAGTGATCTAACGGTGGAAGCAAGTCTTTTGACACCGGTGTTGGCCAATATATAGCCCAATTTTAATACGATTGTCTTGTGTGTGCAGGCATTTTTTCTCGATATATGTGCAGCTTTGCTATATCCACAAGCTTACAGTACAGATTAATATTGCCTGAACTGTTTGTAGATGGTCTTTCGATTCCAGTCGCTGGTTCGAAAACTTGGGGTCTTTTGTTACCGCCACAGCGTACGGATCGGATTTACGAGTGGATTTCCTCTTTGGGATGTGGGGGCACAGAGTGTCCCACATTATATGGATACGATAGTAAAATACGACGTACGGATAGGGTTAATTTAGGCTCAAGGAACGACATAATATTACGTACCACAAGCTCTTTAGGTCATCTAGACTTAGAAATAGTGGCTTTATCAATGCCAACGCATATTCATTGTTTAACACCTTCATACTGTGTACAACTGTTTCTATATATTGTTGGTTATTGTTAACCACGTTTCTATTCTAGATTCTACAATGGCAGCTCATATTTCCAAAAGCAAAGCTGTTGGATGCGGCAACGGCCTTGATTTACTGACTTAATGCACCAGCGAATGTATATGTATATATTTTCGTGTACACAAACATCCTAGAACATTTATGCATAGTTGTTAGCTGACAAACATTGATCAGCTTAGTAGAAAATGTCTTTTCTGTCCGGTTAAATTTCCTGTAGTTTATGACCATGATCTCCAGTGTTAAATATGTGTCCGGGAAGGGTTGTAATCACGCTCCCTGAATTACTTTTGTAAATGGACCCCACAACTAACAAAGTAGCCCATACAAAAGTGCAGGCTTTCAGAGGGGCCCCATTATCTCAAAAGGCTCTCATTGCCTTTAGCATTTACATTGGTTCAAAGAGAGGAACATTACCGTTCTCACAGAACAGTTAAGGTTGGTCAATTAAAAATGATTTTCACGCTTTCTTAAGGTCCTTATAGGCATTTAACGAACGATTTTAGCGTCCCCCGAAGTAAATTCGTTGCACCAAAAATGATTAAAACATTCTGGTGGCTTTTTCATTGTGACGCATGCATTTAGATTATATTAAACGAAGAGCTGTCTTCTCAGAGTATGTACTCGTAAGATAGTCACATGATATACAACATAATAACAGACATTAAAAATGCATATCCAGTTGCAGCTCTTTGTTGAAATTTCTCTCATAATTTACAAATTGAAAGCCGCTAGCATAGTGATACATCCTGGTACCAATGCGAAACAAACTACGCTAGGGGCTTTTAACCTAGGAAGACTAAACTAACTCTGGCGTTTTGGATCTTTTTTTTTTTTTTTTTCATCGTCGGGGTTGAGGGGTAGGGAGGTTAACACTGCCAGTAAGTAATCTTAATTATAATGGAGCTAAGCCCGTTTGTGAGGTCAGTATACATTTTTTTACACAGGTGCCCATTAAATCCACAAAATTATGATTCAGTTACGAATTGTTACAAAGTGTTGCGTGGCCATATTTTTAAATTCGGAAACTACCTTTTTATTTTTCAAGCTTGATGGTTTTTCCTGTAAATCGAAGCTCTCGGATGTTTTCACTCTACCTTTAGCCATTTCAATTTCGTATGATTTTACTGGGGACTGCTTCCGTTTCGGTTCTTGCTTCGTCGTGTATGTGTGACAGCTGCCTCTGCTATTTCCAGATCTAGAATGTTGATATCTAACTCTGTTTGGATGTGTGCTTTGCAGTGTCGATGGATATATCTACTTCAAGCCAAACTTTATTGTATTGACCTTTTCTAGAAACATTTGGTGTAGTCATGTCCCCAACACGTTGAGTTCTTTTAGACCCACAACATGTTTACTTCTTTGTATTGACGTTTGAAAAAATTGGCGCCCATTTGGTGAGTAGTTGTGTTTTTTTTATAGAGCAAGACTCTAGATCTAGATTTCTCTATATCTTAGATGTATTTGAAGCACATAATTCAAGACTGATTTGGAGTAGTTAGCAAGAACAGAAGTGCCGTTTGTACTTTGTGACTGAAGGGTCGTGGGTTTGAACCCTGCCGCCATGGGGCCGAAAGTGTGTCCTTGGTAGAGGTATGTTATAATTTTCCTGACTTCATCGAAGTGAGAATGGGCACCCGGCTGTGGGCGGGAAAGGTTTCTTGTACGTATAAAAAAGGATTTAAAATATCAAAAAGATAAACATTATGAGTTGTCCGATAGCTACTTATCTAACGCTATAGTTTTAAATTGTGAACGTTATCAAACGCTTTATTCGGCTAGTTTTGGATTTTGACATTTCTATAGGAAAAGAAACAGCAACAATGCAACAATTTGGTGAATTATGCACTCTCAACAAGCTCACTATTCACATATTATATGCTATCTGGTTATCTGTATTAAATTAAAGAAATTGATTTTTCCCTCTTCTCAATAAACTGATTTTAGAAAAAAAGAAAGAAAATTTCATGGGATAGTGTTGCTGCTTATAATTAGACACAGAGCAGTATGTCATTTCGGAGGCATGGGGCTTGGTCAGTCTCCTGTTCGGGCACTGGGACGAGTAATAGTAGTTCTAGAAATGAAAATGAGGGCTTATTTAGTTCAGCCTGTATTGATCTTGATTGCAGTATTGGGGAAAATAGTTCCAATCTTCATCTGGGCAGTCTCTAAATTAGTTTGTTTGAGCTGCCTTCGGAACTTTTCATCCCATGTGGTCAGACTCTATCAAAGACGAATAGGCCTACTAACTTGAAAGTTCAACATCTTAAAATTCTTTCTTTGAAAGAAAAACAATGTCCACAACTGAAACCCCAATGTTGACGCATAATTCAATATTTGTCCCCACCCCACCCCCCAAACACACACACACACACACACACACACACACACACACACACACGCACGTTACTTCAAGGCTGCGATTGATAATGTACTTCTCAAACCAAGTGATGTATCTAAAATATGACACAGAATAAGTCTCTTCAATCAACACTACCTGACATTCTTTTTTTTAAAAAGTATGATAATATATTAAACGCCTACGAAAGCATGGATCAGCCAGCCGAGAGACACATCGTGAAAAAAACGTTCTTCCTTGGACTTATTGGTGTCTGGGACCCAGTGAGTGAAGAACGTATCCAGTACAATAAAGTTTGTAACAGTAAAGAACGCAAACTAAGTTTAACAGTCCAGCACACTTTTCAGCTATGCCCCAATTCCTTAGACTAATCGAGTCTGGGTGATCGCAGCTCCTTAGCAAGCCGTCCACGAAACTCCTATCAATCTCTTTCTGTTCCCAGACTCCCTAGGGGCACTGTAAATACATCAAGATTGCTGAAGGAAGCATGTACATAGGCGATGCTTGTAAAATCACTCTCCAGAAAACTCGAAGGAAATAATAAGGACGCCAAAATTAGCCGTGTTATAAAGAAGTGAGTGTGTTTTCAGGCTATCCAAAACATTCGATTGTTTTCCTTTAAAAAATTGAACGATCACAACAATCCCATTGAGAGCAAAATACATGAACAGAAAGCTGGCTAGCAGCCGAAGAAAAATTAT